CATACATACATACATACATACATACATACATACATACATACATACATACATACATACATACATACATACATACATACATACATACATACATACATACATACATACATACATACATACATACATACAATAAGTGATGAAGAAATTTAAAAAGTCACAAACATTGAATATCTAGGCTCTATAATAAACAGCAATGGAGACTGTTCCACAGAAATTAAAAGGAGGATGGCCATAGCAATGCAAAGATTGAACAGTTTTAAAAGTCTATGATTAGGCACCAGCAACGAGATTAAAATTAGAATTTTGAGAGCATGCATCTTCCCTGTGGCTACATACGGAGGTGAGTCGTGGACTATCTCTCAGTCCTTAAGAAAGAGAATAGGGGCTTTTTGAGCTGAAATGCTATAGAAAAATTATCAGAATATCTTGGACAAAGAGGAGGAGATCTGAACATCAAGGAAGATTGTCTAATAAACAGCATCCTTTCTCGGAAGCTGAAATATTTTGGTCATATCAAGCGCCACGACGGACTGGACAAAAATTATAGCAGAAGGCATGGTACCAGGAAGGAGGAGCGGGGGCCGACCGACACAAAGATGGGCACAGGATATAAGTGACTCCTTGAGTGTGAAAGTACATGAGGCGGGAGAGGAGAACTGGCGAGAGACCGAGTTTCTTTCAGGCAGACTGTGATGAGAGCGACGTTCTGCAAAGGACTTGCTAAATGATGATGACATACAAAAAAAAATTAATTGAAAAAAGGCGCTGCGACTAAAAAAAATTCTGGAAACACTGACAGAGAAAGACAAACGACTTATGAGTATGGGATTAACGTGCTAACAGACAAAAGCACTCAGAGATGTCATCATCATCATCATCATCCTAAACCACTTCTGCTGTAAAGCGTCGTGGGAATTAATAATTTGCAATCCAGTGCACGTTGGCTGCCACTGGCTTTTGTCATGCCGTGAAGGCGTAGAGTGTCTGTACTGTTGTCGATCCATGTTTTCCGCGGCCGTCCTCTTGCTCTTGTAGCTGATCTTCTGAGATGTAGTGCTTGAGATGGTATTTGATCTTGCTGCATTCTAACGAGATGACCAAATCACTTGATCTGCTATGAATCTAGTATAAGGTGTCGTTCCCACAATTTGCCTGACATATAGTTTTATTATTCACTCGATCTCGTATGGTTATGTTGGCTGCTTTTCTCAGGCTCCTCATCTCGCAGGTGGTAATTTTGCGTAAATGGGCTTTAGATAGTGTCCATAATTGGCACTGGTAGCTTAATGTTGGAATAAATATGCTATTAATAATCTGTCTCTTTGCACTCAGAGATGTAATTGTTTAAAATTGCATACGTAACTAGTCTACATCTACTATGTATATGTCTTTCAGTTAACTGATGGTTGTTGGCAATGAATGAAAGAAACATGTAACAGTAACTCCCATAAATACACTTTTAGTTAAATATATCTAAAACATGCACAACAGTCATCGCTGTCAGTGATGTAAATATTAATGTGGCCCATCAATATGGCCCACCCTGTAGATACACACACACACACACACACACACACACACAAATGCAACACACACTCTTATCAATCAAAATTTGTTTCTCTACTTCCTCTAAAGTCTTAGATCGAGATAATAGGAAGCAGGTCACCTTCTAATGAATAATGCTGGCTAATGCATATCTTCGAAGGGAGGTATAGCGTAACTACGAGCACTGAGAGTTAACAATGAGTCCTAGATCGTTTAAAAAAAGTTTATAGCTGCTGCAGATTGGAAACAAAGAGTTCGGGTCTGTAGGCTACATTCTAGCTGCTGCAGATTGGAAACAAAGAGTTCGGGTCTGTAGGCTACATTCTAGCTGATGCAGATTGGAAACAAAGAGTTCGGGTCTGTAGGCTACATTCTAGCTGCTGCAGATTGGAAACAAAGAGTTCGGGTCGGTAGGCTACATTCTAGCTACCGCAGCTTCCACTGAGTACATTAATTGCTTAAAAACCGTATCTCAATATGTCAGTGACAAAAAGTAGGGAAAAGAGAGGTGATTGTTGTCAGTACTACTTTGATTACCAATTTAGCTCTTTCTTTTAATATATCCATTCAATATCATCTCATCCGATATTTTACAGTTGTTCACGTGACCCCGTGGTGGATCCTAGGGGTTTAAGTGCTTCGCTCTCTCTTATTGTTGTGTGGCTCATGCCAGGAAAGGCTCCGTCCGAAACGTCACTTTGTCTTTTTTGTGCACGTTGTTCCACTTCAGTTTTTCCTTAAACCTTTTAGTCAAATCCTATTAGATTACTCTCACTGTAATGATATACTGTAAATTTAACAAACACATTAAAATAATAAATCTATCAAACTACATTACCTGTGCCTTGATATTCAAAAATAACATTTATATATTGACTTTTAAAAAAAAATTAGAATCAATACGATAAAATAAGATCAGTTCGGTTTTTAAAATCGTCAACTAGTAGATACAAATATGATAGAACGTAAACAGTCACTAATCTGGTGCACCAGCCTAACGGGACACATAATCTCTTAGCGGGTGATCGAAAGTGATTTCTTTCTGGCTATCTTTTATGTACTGGAAAGATTTATGAATCC